AAAAAAAAGGAAGAAATAAAATAACATGAAAAAAATTACTGAAATAGAGCTCACGTGGGGGAAAAAAACAAAAGTAAATAAAATAAACTGCAATCAAGTAATGGGATTTGATTGAATCAAATTAACCCACCCATGACCCACTTGGCTCGGTTCTTGAAGCGGGTCTGGTTCGTCAAACGGTTCATCAGGGATCTGCCTATCACATTTTAAATATAGAAAATCTAAAATATAATTAAGATAAATAGAGTTCTAACAGAATGTTTAATTATTATCTTCATGAAAAATTATATTATTAAATCAAAAATAAATTACTTTCTTATTAAATTTAAATTAAGTTATAATAAAAAATTTAATTAGAGAAGTTACACCAAAAAAACGAGAACCATTAAATAGTTAATTTAATATTAATATCGTTTTATTTTTTTAAATTTTTTTATGTCATCTTCAAATTTATATTTCATTCAAAAATAAAAACATTATCGCTTTATCAAAACCACATAAAATCGTATTATATTAATAGAGACAAAGAATAAAAATTAAATATCAAAATGCAGATTTATCTCGCTAGATTGTGCGAATACCCTTCTAATACATATAATTTAGCTTATTAGTTTATGACGAGGTTTCTGTCAAACTATTATTAATTATAATAATAATTAATTTTTTAAAAAAAATATTATTTAAATATGATATGTGAGGTTAATCAATTTTAATTTTATTCATATTACATGTAATGGTTATTTAAAATCATAAATAGTAGATTTTTTCTAAAATTTGTTTCAAGAAATTTAAATATTATAATATATATAATAATCAATTTAAAAATAATTTAATCAATATATTAAAAACTAGTTTAACAGTGTACAATTATTGTCATCCAACCTTTCAGGATTGGTATGTTTTGAACTTTTAACCTCTTCGATGGTTGATATCTACTAGTAACCCGAATACCACTTAGTTAATGACCCTTTGATACATGCATCCATCCAACCTTCGGGATTGGTTTAGCTAGGCTACGTCAATCGCCTTGCCTTGCTGAATCTACAGTACCTCTAGGCCATGACTCAAATCTTTCATTGTCCTAAAACTATGAACACCTTTTGATATAAGATAATATATTATACAGTGGTAGCAAAATAAAAATCCTTATTGAACTTTGAATATAGTGATTGACAGTAACATTAAAACACACCATTCATTATTCAACTTAGCTGAAAAGTTCATCCTGTTGGTATTTCTTAAACCATTTTCTAGGCAGATAAGCTCGACCAGATCAAGTTGTAACCATTTTCGATTTTTGAAATCTTGACAAGGACATGAAACAAACTTGTAACCATTTCGATTGTGAATCTCAAAAGTAACGTGACACGACACAGTACACTTTGTTTTGTATATCCATTTGATCTTTAAGAACTTTTGTAGTACAACTAACTTTAACCCGAGTTCAACTTCATTAAGTGGCAACGTATAAATAAAGAGCAATGTCACACTCAAAGATTTCAAAATCATCTCCCTCAATTTCCATTAATTAGAGCAACAATCTAAGAAGTTTTTTTCTTCATAGATTTTAGGACGTATCATAGTAATTATTTATTTTGTTATGTGTATAATGATGATTGTTTTATTTATAAATTACATTAAAAATAGTTTGTTTATTTTTAAAGTATAAAAATTAAATGGCACATTAATAGTTTTTAGAGAACTTAACCTCATAATCTAAATTAGGGAGTGTTTGACGAGGTATTAAGTAGTAATCAATAAGAATGATAACAAAAAAAATTGGTTGGTTTTATATAATATAATGAGTTCATTGCTCAGAAGCCCAAATTTCCATTTCAAGTTAAATTGGAGGGAATGAAAAGTCATTCTCGTTTTCATTCCTTTTTTCATTCTCCAACCTAAACCACAAATAGCCCTTAAGAGATGAACTTATAAGGAATGAATGAAATATAATGTCTTGATTTATTTGAAGTGTACTTGGGTATCTTTAGCGGGTAACAAGTTTTACAACAGAATCTACAAAATGATATACAGTTTGATATAAATAGTAATTCTTCTCTGATAGAAAATACAAAATGATATACAGTTTGAGATATATATATATATATATATGTATGTATGTATGTATGTATGTATGTATGTATGTATGTATGTATGTATGTATGTATGTATGTATATATATACAAATTTCCATATATAGCGGTTAAAAAAAGTAATAAAATATTTTAGAACGTTTAAAAACCGTTGATCCAAAAAAAATGTCTTTTTGAATTCTTTTATAAACAATTATTATATTAAATATGATTAAATGAGAATTAAAGATATTTCAATTGTAAGAGAAACAAATGAAATAAATGGTTCAATAATCTGATCAAATAATATTATTATGAATTGAAAGACAACAACAATCTCTACTCAGACACTATAATGAGAGTGTACTGAATGACCAATAGATAGTAATACGTCTTTTTTGTGGATACTTTATTCAGCTTCCCTTAGAAAAGGTCAAGCTAAGGGGGTGTTTACTTATGACTTAATGAGCTTCATGGATTAATGGGCTTTTTCGCTCAGCCAAAATATGGTGTTTACTTAGGGTTTATTCGCACAGATGGGAAAGGGCTCTTGACCAGGTTCAACAAAAAAAAAAAAAAAGACAACCCTACCCTTCACGCCTCCTTCTAGATCTCATCTCAGATTTAGCTTTTTGATTTTGTTTTTGTTTTCGATTTAAGAACTGCATCTCCTTCCTAGATTCAAGAACTCAATTTTGTTTTTTTTTAATTTTGTCTTCATTTTCTGATTTTGTGTTCGTATTCGATTCAAGAACTGCATCTCCTATTGAGATTTAAGAACTCGAATCACCACTGCATCTTCTTCCTAGATTGAAGAACTCGATTTCGTTCCAGATTTCTTTTGAAGTTTCTGAGGTTCGTTTTCGATTTCGATTTCGTTTTCATTTTCGATTTCCTTTGAAGTTTCTGATATTTTTTATTTATTGTTGTCTATTCCAGATTTCGTTTGAAGTTTATAATAATTTTTGTTATCTGTTATCTGTTCTTAGTTCCAGATTTCATTTTCAATTTCATTCCAAATTTCGATTTCAAAACCCTCTTTACATTTATGTTCTCCGTTCGTCTTTCCCGTAACTTAATCGTAACCCTCACCTCTCAAGTTCAAATTGTTCATTGATTGTTTATAAAGCAAATTGTTCCCAATTTCACAGGGTTTTTTTTTGTTGAAATTTATCTGATGAATTGAAAGTAAAATGGTCATTTCTATCTTTCAGACGGTTAATTCAGTAAAAAAAGTAAACACCAAATATTTTTTATCTAGACAAATAAATTTATCCATACAGAACTTAATAGAAAATTTGATAAACAACCATTAAGTTGTATTATTAAAATAATATATTTTTAATAAATCGACGTAGAAGTTGTGAATATTTAGTTACACTTTAAAACCACTTTAAAACCCTTTGTGAATCTGATGGTAGCTTTTCACACCTTTGGTATCTATCTATGCATCATCCCCTTCTTTAAATCCAACCTTCTATCAACACTTTCAGTATCATCATTCCATCCTTCAATTCAACCATCAATCATGATCCTCGTCACCCTTCTTTCATTCTTCATTTCTCTTTCTTATGAAACCATCATCTTCTGTTCATTTTCCATCACCATCACCATCTTTTCTCTATCTTTCATCTCCAAATACCCATCAACTTACTTGGTTGATTACACCTGTTGTAAGCCTCCAAACACTTTGCGATCGCCCTCCCACAGCTTCCTCAAACACTCGCGTCTCAACCTCAGCTCCAACCTCGAAAGTGTCGATTTCCAGATGAAAGTCCTGGCTCGATCTGGTTTAGGTGAAGAGACGTATTTACCCCCCGCCATTTGCGAACTCCCTCCTACTCCTTCCTATGAAGCGTCCAGGAAAGAGGCCGAACTCGTCATTTTCTCATCTCTCGATTCGCTTTTTAACAAAACCGGCCTCAACCCACTTGATGTAGACATTCTTGTTGTCAATTGTAGTGTTTTTTCACCGGCTCCTTCTTTAACAAGCATGATCTTGAGAAAGTACAACATGAGAGAAAATGTGAAAAGTTTTAATCTTTCTGGAATGGGGTGTAGTGCTGGATTGATATCTGTGAACCTGGCTCATGACCTTCTTAAGACTCATGCAAACTCGAACGCGATTATCGTCACCACTGAGATCATAACCTTATTCTACTACACTGGAAAAGATCGATCTATGCTACTACCCAACTGCCTCTTTCGCATGGGTGGTGCAAGTGTTTTCTTGTCCAACAAGAAATCTTTTCGAAAACAATCCAAGTATCTTTTACTTCATGTGGTACGAACCCACATAGGATCATGTGATGAAGCCTACAACTGCATACACGAAAGAGAGGATTCAGAGGGCAAAATAGGGATTTCTCTTTCCAAAAAGTTGACCTCCATAGCTGGTCAAGCTTTGACAGCAAATATCCATGCATTTGCCCTACAAATACTCCCAACAACAGAACTCTTGTTCTTCCTCAAAACCCTAATTGTGAAAAAAGTGTTCAAACAGAAGAACACGAAACCTTATATCCCCGATTTCAAGCGAGCATTCGAGCATTTCTGTCTGCACGCAGGTGGCCGAGGTGTGATAAACGAAATGCAGAAAGAATTAGGGTTATCATGGGAAGATATGGAGCCATCAAGGATGACATTGCATAGGTTTGGGAATACGTCGTCGTCTTCGTTGTGGTATGAGCTTAGTTACTTGGAAGCTAAGGGGAGGATGAAGAAAGGAGATAGGGTTTGGCAGATAGCTTTGGGAAGTGGGTTTAAATGCAATAGTGCTGTTTGGAAGTGTAACATGGATATTAAAACGTCGTCGGATGGGCCTTGGTTTGATTGTATCGATAGGTACCCTATTCATGTTTCATAAGTGTTGTTAATTGTGAAATTACATAACACTAATTTGACTTTCTTGTCTAGAAGTCAACAACCTCAAAATCTATCCAAACAAATCATCCAATGGAGTAAGATTCGAAGTTTGTAGTGATTATTTAATCAAGATTTTTCGTGAAAACCTAAAAAGAGAAAATGTGTACCATAAGCTTATTATTTTTACGATGAAATTAAGGGTGCATAAAAATACAAATCTACCCAATACTACTAGAGAATTGATAATTTCCGGCTACAAAATCCGCCAGAAAACAAAGTTACTGACGAATTTCCGACGGCTGAAAAAATGGGCGACAGAAAAACTAATTTCCGACGGTTCCAAAAAATGTTGAGTCCATTACAGGTGTTCTTAATTTTGAATAATTTGTCGATAGATTTCCGACAGATATTTCCGAATGTAATTTAAATTTATTTTTAAAAATAGTTTTAAAGAATAAATCAAAGTAAAGTAAAGGCGGCTACATCAGCCGGTAAAATATTCCACCGAATTTTTTTTATTTTTTAAATTTATTTTTATTTTTTTATTCGTATTATTTACATTTTGTGGCGGATAAATTCCGTCGGTAATCTATTGAAAAATCACCCAGTTTTCAAACACAATTTTCTTGTGTTTATTTAAAAACTTGTAAATTCTGTAAATATGAAGAAAAAAAAAACTGCTAACAACATGAAATCTTGCTAAATATTATAAATTAATTAATATTCAACACAATTGTACGGGTCAAGTAGCATATAATTGTTCCAAAAAAAAAATTAAAATGTTCCAATTCAAATTGTTTCAAATACAATCAATCAAGTTTCTAAAACAAACAGATACTTATTACTCTGGCGGCGTTTGTGACAGAAACTGCTGAGATTGACTGAGCTGTTTGATCAAAACAGTCATCTCTTCATACTGGATCTCTCGTCGCTCATTCTCTCGTCGACGCTCCTCCTCCACCGGTCAAAGCTCATATTCCTTCCGCCGGCACTCCTCTTCCTCTCTCAAACGCTGGTTTTATTCCATCAAATCTCTAAGTTGAGTGTTTAAGGTGTCAATTTCCTATAAAATAAAGAAAATGTTAAAATATTTAATATGAATTATAAACTAACTAGATAAACATCATCAAAGGAAAAGAAGTACATACCCGCCTATCCGAAGACGATACCACCATGTGTGGATCTCCCAGTCAAGACCCAACGCGAAATAACTCAACCTGAAGCAACCCGATGTCTAATCGAGTTGTAAAATTTTCAAACCCTAGTTATTGGGTTGATATTGGGTACTATTATTTGAACTCAACTCAACCCGATGAACCCGATATTCTTTTATTTATGATTGTTGAATTTCTATTAATATATATTAGACAATTACACTATCACGTATGTTCTTCCTATACAAATCTTTTCGATCTATTCACATATCTATATAACTCATACGTATATATGTTTAGTAACTGTAAACATATATGCATAAATTGAGAAAATTAACTGAATGTGATATACGTAAGAAGTATGGATAAGTTGTATCCAATGGTTGATGATCAAAAAGAAATTATGAGGAGAGAAATAACATATTCAAGATTAGAAGAATATTTTAAAGTACCAAAGTATCAATCCGACAAACCTGTACGGTTTGGGTTGGGTTGGGTTGGGTTGTACTTTCGTTTGGGTTTGGTTGGGTTAAGATTTTTCAAACCGTAAACATTGGATTGGGTTGTTCAAATATCTTCAACCCAATCAACCCAACCCATAAATACCCATACATAGAATATATATTAAAAACTAAATTATCCTATAATGTACTCCAAGATCATATTTGCATATAACAAATGACAATTTACGCAACAATTACATACATACATAGGTGCAAAAAAAGAGTTCATAGAATTACATTTCAAACAACAATTACATACATAACAGGTGCCAACAAAATATATCCAAATACATATATACATTCACTAATTTCTATACATACATACATACATACATACATACATACATACATACATACATACATACATACATACACACACAAATTCACATATACATTCACACATAAATTCACATATACATTCATAAATTCACATATACATTTGTAAATTTGCATATACATATGTAAATTCACATATACATACATAAATTGACATATACATTCATAAATTCAAATATACGTACATAAATTCATATATACATACATATACATAAATTCATATATACGTACATAAATTTACATACACATACATAAATTCATATATACATACGTTAATTCACATATACATACATATATTTACATATACATATATAAATTTGGGAAAGAGAGAAAATGAGGAGTGAGGTCGCTCGATGAGGCTGAGAAGATCGCCGCTAGTGAGGAGTTCTCCTCCGGTGAGTATGCGAGAAAGAAAGGGAGAGGCCACGGGAGGGGAAGGCGCCGGTGAGGGGAGAGTCGACGACTATGGAGAAACAATGAGGGTTGATGGAGGAAATAATGAGGGTCGATGATGGCTCTGTTTTGTATGTGTAAGAGATCGATCTGAGTTTGTTTTTTTTTTTTTTTTTTGAAGTATATAATATTTATATACGGCAAATGCAATAAATAAACTCACACACTCTTCTCACCTATGGTGAGATTTGAACCCCTGACCTCCTAGAAGGCCAAGGGCTATGATACCGCTAGGCCAAAGGCCCTTTGGCTTCGATTTGAGTTTGTTTAGGGTAGGTAAAAAAGCAGATCAATACCGGCGGTTAAGTATGCCGGTAAATTTATAAAATTAATGTTTTTTTATAAAATTAACCGTTGGTTTTTCATGAAATTTTTTGTTTCCAGCGGAATATACAACCAATAATCCGCCGGATTCTATTATTATTATTATTATAATTAATCGAGTTGTAGATACTTCAAATTGTAGATACTGGGTTGAAATTGGGTTAAAGTTATTTAAACCCCAACCCAACTCAATAACCAGAAGTTTTCTTTATACTATGAATTTAATATAATTATTAAATTCTTAAATAATATATGTACATTAGATATTTAAATAACTCGTAGGCAGCATAATTCATAATTTCAATCATAGTTTTATATTTATATTTATATGAATCTCCAACTTTTTTTAAAAAATTAATAATTTTATTTATATGTTCTATTTTAACTTTATTTTATTTAAACATAATTAATTGCTAGCCAATTTGTCCCTAATATTTTGAAAGACTATTTAGCTCAAATTTACAATTACTTTTTGAGTTTTTAGAATCTACCATTGGGACCCTACACTTTGCAAAAATACGATTTGATCTCGATTTTAGATGTTTGATATTCGAAAACTCCTAAAAGTCCTTAAGAATGTGTTTAGTACATTAGACATGAAATGTTAGAATGAAACAAAAATCACTATTTCATGTTTGACATGATTTTTATGTAAAACAGATAGGAACAAAATGAAACATGCATGTTCTCCTCTTACCCCATAGAAAAAGTGGGAATAAAGTGATATAAACTTATATTTTACCTATATAAATCTCAAAATAAAACTTAATTTTCTTTCTAAAATATCAAATACACCTTCCTCTTTACATTTTATTCATTTTTTAAATTTTATTTATTATAATTTATGCACTTTAAACTTTCACGTTACTATTCTGAAAATATTATTTTGATACAATTTCTATATTTTCATTAAGACTTGAGATGATATGAGACCAACATGTTTTCATGAGACCATCTTTTTACACTCAAAACTTTATAATAAAACACTATGAAGGTAATCTTTACAACGTTTCTACCATGAAGGTTCAAATTTTTTTTTTTCCTTCACAACGTTTTGTTGTGAAGTTTCAAGTGTAAAAATGTAGTCTCACGAAAACATATTGGTCTCACATGAACCCAACCCTTTGATTAATTTATATAATTTATTAAATATTAATAGTAAAAAAATAATATAGAAAAGGTACAAAATAAAAATTGGAAACTACATAAACTTTTTATTTTGGTGTCATTCTAATCAACTTGACAAAATCTTCCTAAATGTTATATTATATTATAACTTAATAAATTACATAATTAATAAAAATACATAAACAACTCATTAACGATAAGTTGGTCTTTTTATCTATTATGTCATGTCCGATTCTATCTTACCAAACACTAAACACCAAACAACAACCGTCCTGTTCTATCTTTTCTGGACCTTAAACTTCATATATGTTATATATATATATATATATATATATATATATATATATATAACATATAGAGTGTAAAAGGTGCTATGAATTCAAGAACTTTTAAACAACTGATATGAATGCACTGGTCATGAATAGGGTCCACATCATCTCAAGGTCTCTTGAATGGTTTGTATGACTGTTAGCTTCAAAACCCATAAGATTAAGATTAAGATTAAGATTAAGATTAAGATTAAGATTAAGATTAATCGAGAAATGCATCCCATTTGCAAATAGCAGAAAGAAAACTCATCATATAACATGAGATGTGAAGCCAAGATGCTTTTACAGCAAACAGAAACATACATAAAGATCCCATCTTTACACACATCAGCTTAACCCAAAGGAGATACTTTTACACCCCTATGTCCGAGCAGAGGATGTTAATGGCGTGGAGGTCCTCGGTGGTGGTCGTAAGATCCCCAACCACCACCACCACCACCGTATACATCACCATATCCACTACCTGGATACCTCATATCAGGGCTTCCATTTAACATTCCATATCCCCCACCACCTGGATTTCATACATTCAAAATATCAATACTTAAATCGCATTTAATACCATCTTCATTTCAGCATGCTTTCAATATCTTGAATTCCCCCCCCCCCCCCAAGGGCTTTTAAGACGGTTGCAATCATTAACCCAGCAATCATAAACCCATATATCCCACCCCGAAGTGGGGTCTCGGGTATGCAATCTTCATGAGATGTAGGAACAATATTACATATAGTGTGTGTGTGTGTGTGTGCATAGAAGGATGACGTACCAAGGCCACGTGTTCTCATTTGCTCCCCTCGAAGCTTCTCTATTTCACGAGCCATTGAAATAAGATTCTTTTCCATTGCTTCCTTCTGAATCATGTGTTCCTCATTCGCTTTCTTCATCATTTCATAATCTCTCCTACATATCGTCAATCAGAGGTGGATCAATAAAAAATTTCAATCGGGGAACAACTATAAAAAAAAGTACGGTTTTATCAAGAATGACATACGAGTGCTTTTTTGTAACACCAAGTGTTTTTTTCTTTTTTCCCCTACAGTTTTCGTGAAAAAGCACCAATCAACAAGGGGCTGGTCATCATCTAATATATTTCCAGCCCTGTTGCCATATCATTCCACGGTGAATCATGCTCAAATTTCCTGATTAATAATCAAGATAAGTAGAATCAAACTCGTACCTCATCTCCCCAAGGTCTTTCCTCATTCCATCAATATCAGCCTTAACAGCCACCACCTGCTCATTTTCAGCCTTCAATCTACTGGTATCCTTGGTGAGATTCTGAACTTGATTCGATAATTCTTGCCTCACTGAGTTCAGTTTCTGAGCTTCAGCTCTTAACTGACCCACATCCACCCTCAGAGGTTCGGTCTCACGAAGCTCAGCCTCAAGCTTCATTCCTCGGTCAATTAAATCCCGGGCCCTTGCTTCTTTGTCGGCATGTAATTTGGGAATGATTTGAGCGAGTCTATGAATCTCGTCTTTGATCGCAGTCAATTCCCTCTGAAGAATAACATTTTCTTCAACCACATGTCCATTTTCAGCCACAATCCGTTGTATATCTCGATGTTGGAGTTCAAGTTCCTCTTCAAGAGCGGCAGGGTGAGGAGGGAGGGGCCCGGGTCCTCGGTGCACAACAGGCATTGGGCCATCACGGGGACCTCGAGGCATACGATTCCTTCCAGACATTCGGATAATCTGGGATACCTACAAAATCTACTATAAAAGCATGAAAATAGATTCAAGCTGTGAAGTAAGCAAACAAAAAATGAAGTACATTAATCAATTTTCATTGTTCACTGGAACGATTTTCTTGACTGATTAAACTCAAATTTGTATTGGTTGATACTCCAGAAACCTTTTGTTTAAAGGATTTGAACTATCTGGAATGCTGTAGATGTAGGACAAGGATCTAAACCTCCATAATTCATTAACTCTTTAAAATTCTATATTATTTGTTGTTTCTGTTGAAAAAGATAATAATTGTGACAAGTGACAACATATTCTACATTATTTGTTGTTTCTTACATGTTTTGGATTTAAGAGAAAATTGTGATTCAGTATGTTCGTATAACACGTTATAATATCATGAGCCAAATTCAAATCCCCATAGTAGTTCCAGAACATAACAGACATAGGAAGAAGAAATTAGAGAACATGGAATCAGCATTGACAATTCAAAACAGTGGAAAACAACAGGTGTGATAACAATTGTAACTCTGGAACTAGGCTCGTAAAAGAGATATGTGCCACACAATGGCAACAATCAAGACACTTAAATACCCAATCACAGTGAAAATTCTCCCTTTGAGGTACATAGTTACTTGAAGAAAATGCAAGTTTTTAATCCTTGCAACATTGGTATGGTAATCATCATACATCAAGTTTGAGGTTGATATAATCATGAAACCATTGACAAACCTATATAGAGAAAAATAATTAACTCATTGTTTTAAGAATTTATCAATTGGAAAACATAAACAAGTTAAGTTATAGTAGAAAACTAGTGAAATGTGAACATGGATTGTGCATATGTTCTGTTGATCCTCTCTCTCAATGATTTGATGATAATCTCTTTTTTCCTTATGCGAAGAATTTATGTTTCTGTTTTTCAGTTCCCGCGATCATCATTGAGTCTGTTCAGCGATCGCTGAAGAATTTGTATTGTAAATCCAATCAGAAACAACGATACTTCAAGAAGACAACACTTACACTAAAGAACCTTCAACGAAAATCGAAGATTGAAACTGAAGATTAGAAACTAACGAGTACATGATCTGAAGCGGTATTCAGTGACTACAAACCTATCTACATATGTGTGAAGACTGCTCAAGCCTCGGCAAATGTTGAAGAGACCTCTAGGTTATTCTAGCATTCAACGATCAAAAGAAGCTTGTTACGCACGATTGTTGTTGTCCTGTCCTTATACACACAAAGGACAAACCCGAACCCTTTCTAAAAGTTAGTACGGTACGCAGCCGACTAGTTGACTCTATTACCCACCAACTTTGTGAAAGGATGTCTGCTCATGAATAGGCTTTTGTACTATTCACTGTAGCAAAGGGCAAACCTTCCTCTTAAGGTTTGACACGCATTCTAACCCTACCATGATGCATTAAATGTGCATTTAATGCAACAGGTATAAATAGATGTGTTCCATCTCCATGCAGAGATACACTTACAACAAAACCTTACACTAAGCTTTCTTGCGCTTAAGTAAAAGAACACACATCTAAGAACAAATACGCTCATCTTCAAAAGCAAGTTAGAATCCCTTTCATTGTAGTCTAAAAAAGTTCTCTCCCAGACAGAACTTACTTTCTTCTATTTCTTTAACAACAAATCTTTTCTTATTTGCTAAGATTAAGTGTGTAAACTTTAGATTGTTTAAATAGGTTTTTCTTACTTTATCTTTCCGCAAACAATCTTGTAAAATCTGTATTAATCTTCTCTTATCAATATATATTTTAAATTTGAAAATACTGTGTTTGTATTCATCCCCCCTTCTACAAACTGTTATACACATCTTGTAGACCCTAACGGGACCAACATGCTCGTATAAGAAAAAACTCACCCGTTATCCCAATTACTTAAATCTTGTGCATACGCTTTCTAATTTATGTAAATGTCAAGAAAACATATCCATCTTAATTGGTTCTACTTAAAATCCAAATACTGATGCTAATTTATGTAAATGCCTTTTGCCAGATTATTTCCGATGTAAATTTTGGAGTAAATGGGCTTCTAAGGAAAGGGGCGCGATGGAATATACTATTGTGGTAGCCGAAACGGGAAGGGGTGCCTCCTCACAAAAGGGGTCGCAGCTCAAGAAATCATATCTACATTTCTACTTTATACGAGTCCAAACCAACTGGAAGTAATTCTCACTTCTTTGGTCTCCTTTCGGCACCATTTCAGATTTATTTGTGTGCGCTAAGTATGTTTTGCTCAACTGCAGAAACCTTCACTCAGAACCATTCAAATCATCCTAACATCATAATTCCATTCATTGTGCTCTGTAGTCTGTACTCTATACTGTTAAACAAGAAAGTCAATCCCACGGATTCTCTGTTAACATTTTGGTTATGCTTCAACAAGAATAAAAACTCCAAAAGGCATTGTCTCAAGACTCTCATCAATAAATGACTTGAGAAGTATGAACAAACTGGATGCCACTCTTGGACCTATTTATGATAATAAAGCTTTTCTGATTCTGAGACTTTTGCCCTGAGTTTGACTCATCAAAATGGAACATCCATGAATCATGGCATGTAACTTGTATACAATTAAGTGATCCATCACAATTGTTCCATTTGTTGCAATAATTGCTCGATATCTCTTTGCTATCCCAATATATTTTTGTGCAAATCATATACACAAAAACTATTTTCTATGTCTTCAGTAGACAACCATGCTAGCGAAGCCAATAGGTTATACCCGTGTTAAGATCCAACATTTAGCTCTCCCTACTCTCTCTCTCTCTCTCTCTCTCTCTCTCTGTGTGGCAAATAAATAGCTACAAGCCTCTTTTCTATTCTACTAGAGCAAATCGCAGTGTCCAAGAAGCAACTGTGCTTCTTCTGCCCATTTCCGAATCCCGTATCAGCTACTTACAGAGTGTAGTTCTTCAGCACCATGGTCAGGTGGCGTTGACCATATCCTTGAACTACTAACCACAAATTCATAGGGATGCCAGAATTAGGATATGGGGCAATTTGGCCTTTTTACCACTCCACAATTTTTAAAAATTAGAAACAAAGGCTAAAAAAACATATGTTTTATGACTGTGAAAGAGAAAAAAGCAAGATGACACAAGAAGTTATCTTTTCATGGTTTGGACCAATATGTTAACATGGCCATACGAAATAAAAGTAAAGTAAAAGTTTTTGACAATTTAGTGTATGCTTATCTTACATATTTAATGTATGAACTGTGAAATGATTTCTTTCTTTAATCCGTGAGTTTTCGATTTCTTTATAAAAAATCAAACCAAATAAACCCAATGTCCCACTTGAAAATAGGATATGAGGAATGGGATGTATAAAGGCATGTCCTCTACCCCAAAGAGTAGAGCAGTTGTTTTCGTGAAAACCCCTGGATTGTGAAAAATGCCTGCAAAAAAGTTTTGGTGAAAAAATGAGTGCTTCAATAAGTTTGAAAGAAGTTGAAAAATAGGGAGGAGCTAGGGACCAAAAACTAAGGCATGGCATTTGAAAAGAAGAGCCAAGACTATATTAAATAGTAAACAGGAAACAAAGGTTACACAAGTTGGAGAAAGCATAGGAACATATTGGGACAGGACAACAAGCTAAACATCCCTCTACCTATCTTCAACCCCACTTCCGTCTCACCTTCTACACAATCTGTTACACTAGTCTTGGACCTCCAATAACTCCTATCAAAAGTCATGTCCTTGACTCCTCGGAAATGTCTAAAGCCGCCATGTCCAACCTCAGCTACTCATCCCACATCCTCCTTAGCCTGCCGATCCTCCAAGCCCCCTAAACAATCATACTTTCTACCCTCCTCACCAGTGTTAACGTCTGTCTACCACAAACATGTCCAAATCATCACAATCTCCCATCTCTCAATTTAACTACGATAGGTGCAACTCCCAACTCTGGCCAGAAGACCACATTCTGTATCCTGTCTCACATGGTTCGACCACATAGCATCCTCATTTTTGCAACTTCCAACTTCCTCTTATGGGTTTTCCTTATTGCCTAACATTATGAAACGTAAAACATCACTTGTCTGTAGTTTCTAACTGGTATATCACATACATACATAGGTGTGTTGTACCCTCAATTTTTTAGAATCCTTAAACCCATGAAGAGAACATACTATGTACCGTTTCTTCTATCTATATCCTTGCAACATAGAGTAATGTTCTACATCTTCCTTTACAATTTACATATGCTCAAAACGTCCTTGTTTAATCATAAACCCCGAGTTCAAATAAGAAAAACGCAACAACAATTAAAAAAACTCATTTAAACCGGTACTTAGAAGTGACTGACACACTTCATTCAGTTGTCATAATCTTGTTAAACGACTCTGCTAACCGTGTTTAACCCTCCTAGTCGCTTCCAAGCTTTAATACAGCCCTAGTCTTTGCCCTATTCCTAGTCCTACCAGTTCCAGTCTCTACAATTCAAAAATAAAACCTAAACTTTAACAAAACAATCACTAATCATCACTTAATCTTGAGCTGGAATCACCATAGAAATGCATCATCGGTAACAATCTAATGTCAAGAAACAACTTTCCTGAGTGCATACATTGACCAATGATCCAAAACTAAACAATTGGAAATTCGATCACGAGTAATACCATAAAAAAGAAACATTTCCGGTCGCTTTAGTAGACGGAGACGAGATTGTTAGAGCCGATGTTCCTTTTCGAAGGGCAGAATCTCCAGAGATCACTTTGATACCATTAGTAATGAGGATTCCGAATATCACACATTGGTCAATCAAAGAGAGATCCAACAAATTGCTTCAAAATACAACACAAACACAAACTCCAATTTCAATTCTTTTCGGTGCTGACGAAGAAAACAGCGTTTCAGACGTATCAAGAGTGTGGGTTCGCAAGTTCGATTGTATAATTGAAGGAAAGTATAACACATAGTAGCACCTAACAAAAGAATTTTACCTTGAAAAAACTCGAAGGATTTGAAGGAGGGATGGAGAACTCACCCAAAGAAACCCTACACGACGTACGGTAGCTTACAAGAGGAATTGGTTAAATGGTTTTTTCTTTTATTTATTTCAATTATTTGTATGGGCTTATTAAGGAACTGGACTAATAAGCCTTCAAAGCCTTCTTTTTTAACATTTAGGGGTTTTGTTTGGTAACTGCTTATCGGATAAATTTCTTTATCGGATGAACATGACAAGTGTCAAGAATCTTACGGGGTAAGAGCGATGAAAATAATGTATAGTCTTACCCGGTAAGTGAAGATGACGACTCATACCCAGGTAAGTGCTTACCCGGTAAATCGTTGCATTCGATACGTTTTAATATACTAAAATCTTGCGAATCAAGGTAAATTATAGTGTTGACTCCTATAGATAACATTTACCGGGTAAGCATTAGGGTAAACAACCCCTTACTTCATGCACTTATTTTATAATTTCTTTTAAATAAAGTATTAAAAGGTAAGGGTGTTTTCGAATTGCTTATTTAAAGTATTCATCAACTTATTTGGTACTGGTAATAAAGAGTTTTTAGTGTCTGGATGAAAAAAAAATATTTGTATCGGTTTGTCAGGAGGTTTTGATAAGTTACTTTTTTTTAACTTACTAACTTATTTTGATACGATATAAGTAATAAGGAGTTTTTAATGTTTTGATGGAAGAAAAAGAAAATACTTATCAGCTTATTATGTTTTGGTACCGTCATAAACTAATCTAAACGCTTTTTTTATAAAACTTCGATCTAATACCACATAAGTTGATAAACACTTTATTAAAAAAGAGTTGTTATACGTGTTGACTAATCACAAGGTGACAACCTGTTTTGTAGTTAATCTGGAGTCCCCGTATTTGAACATTCATGATCACAAATCTTCAACATAATCTTATTTAATTAGAATTTTTTTCCATCCACATAATCTTCAATTTCAATCCAATATCACTTTTTTATCTTTCATCGGTGATCCATTCCAACTTAAATATTTTTTGTAAAAATTTTATATAATTTTTTATCATATACAATTATTATTTTATTAATTTTGAAGTATACAAAATAAATTAGACGAACCATTACATATTTCAAAACGTAATTATGGTAATAAAAACCTACCATACAATTTTTGAAAATAAATAAAACAAGTTACAAATTGAAAGAAACCGAAAGTTTTGGAATTTACAAGATAATGAGAGTATTGAGATGAAAATATGTTAATATTGGACTCTATTTGTATAGAATTGAAAAATATAAATTTTTGTATATTTTTTTTAACTTTAAATCTTTTTGTTACAGTCAAGTTCTTAATCAGATAAGTTTTATCTTATAAAAATATAAATTTAACCAATCAACTTTTGTCATATATCAGTCCAATTAAAAATAATAAAAGTTCAGGATCTGGGTTTGAATGGTGATACAAAGGAGATTGCCGCAATTAATTTACCTTTTGTTTTTATTTTCAATCACAGTCTGGGTTGTCCAGATTGTGGTTAAACATAGTCTAGGGGTCAAAACAATTTGTGACAATTAATTAGTTGTGTGTATATCTAGGGTTGGGATACAGTAAAAACAATCAGTTTTCTTAAGAGCGTGATATTAAGTGAAGGTGCCCTTGTTTCGTGATAATGGTCTCTCTGGAAAATGTAATTGTACATTTATCGATGCTATATATAAAATGTCTTAAATAGTTAAGTGTTGGATTTTAAAAGATATACTAATATCAGCGTCATGTATAGCTGATAAAGCTATTAACCACCCACGTATTCAACCCTATCCTCCTAATCCTTCATTTCCTTCCAACCATATTTCCTTGAAGCAATCAACAAATCGATATACAGCATGTAGCAACCATACTAATTTGTTGATCGTTAAAGAGAAATATGGTTTACCTGGTTCAAAATACCATGCACAAATAGTTGTTGGACATGTGCACAAAGTTTCCTCATCATCAATCTTTGCACCATAACATTTCTAGCACAGTAGCCTCCAACATCTGTACACCACAAATTATGCCATGTTATGTAGAATGACAAAGAGCACCTTGCCCGTTTGATTACGAATCAATGGAGCATCTCCAGCCACCATGCATTTTTATTTTTCATTACATCAGGAGCTTATTCACAATTTGAATTTTATCATGTATGCATATGCATATATGATTTTGGTTTAATTCTATAGTGCCACTAAGATTGTTCTCGATGATTCCAACTTTTATTTTACATGTTAATCTTATAACATGAATTTGTTATTTGCTTTTGACTATAGTATGGCACCCTCTACTAAAATGAGAATGACAAGGAAACCTCAGTCACTACTTTCGTCATCAATCTTATTAGACTATCATTGTCTTACTGGCAAGCAACGATAACTTACATACATACAAGAATATGTAGGGATAAGGGTGTGCTTTTATTTTGGAGTTAACTGATGAAGATGTAAGTGTACAAAATTTCATTTTTACCAACATCGTTGGAGCACTTTACGTAGTGGTTGAGAGAAATTAAGACATTACTGAGTCACTACTTTTTGGGGTATTCAAATGCAAGCACCCATGTTGAACGAGGCCACAAGAAAGTTTTTTGATAAATTTGAAATTGAGGTGGTGTCATATATATATATATATATATATATATATATATATATATATATATATAAAGGAACACTAAAGTGACTAACAAGCAATTCAGAACTGTCGAAATGATTATGAAAAGACTAAAAATCAATATCCTCAAACTGCTGAGGCCAGTAACAGATCCATGCTTATACCTGAAAGAAATTTCAACTTTGTCCCTGTTGGTCATTGAGCTTTTGGTAAGATGTTCATAGGTTTCAACTTCTCCTTCATTTTGTCTATTCACCTTGTGCCAAACATGGGTTTTTGTGTAATTATGAGTTTAAGATGTTATTGGTGTGGTCAAACATGTTTCACAAACAATATCTGTTAGAAGGAAAATTAGTAACGACATCATTCATAAGCGTGATGTAACTATTGTAGATGAGATGTATGGTACTTCCTTCTTATATTCGCTTCCTGGTATAAACCATTCGATGAAAAGTGAAGGTCGCTCAATGTATTTTGACCGTGTGAAACTTGACCGTACAACCACCATCGCATCTTGGTTGAGGACAAGGCATAATGTACGGATTTTGTTCAATTTATTATTTCTCATATCATGGTACAACTCTTTTCATCTCTCCTCAATAATTTTTGGCTATAAGGTAATTTTACTAATTTTATGTTGCATTAAAATTTATTCATTCTAATTTTACCTACGCTTGTCATATACAACTATCGTCATCGCTAGATTTGCTTTTGTTTGTTCTATTCCTTATTGAGAACTTGATCATCTGAAACTTTGAACATATATCATGTCGATGTAAGGAAAAAACGACTTGTGACACAACAACCATTTAAGCTGAAGGAAACTTAGTTATAGACAATGAATATATGGTTTTCAACATATTAAAGGTGTCCTGTAAAATGCATGAAAAAGTCATGACAATCTTGTCGATTTTAACCATAAGATAATTGAAATCATCGAATTTGATATTTTTATGTATGGTATGCAACTAACAGAGAAAATGGCATGAATAGAAGTATACTTTGTTTACAAATTCATCAACCTCTTGTATTTTTCATCTATTTTAGATGCTTTCGTTTATTCAGTTATTCCTTTTTGGCATGTGTAATTATGTATTTTTATTGATCAATGTGTTATAAAGCTTAAGGATTGTTTAAAGTTCAAAGAAACAGGGGTTTTTGTGTAGTTTTGGCCTTCCTACGACCTGGCATGCAACATAGGTCGCTGCCCAGGTCATGTAACTAACTGTTGGAATAACACTGCGGAACACACGACTTGTGGCGTGACTTGACTACTTGAGATAGCGAGCGAGACCGAAGCGCAGCTTTTGGGTGCCTATTAATCCGATTTTGATCTTATTTCTTCTCCATTTATTCCATCTGTACTTCCCCTTTCTCTCTCTTTATTAAATTTGTTCGGTGCATCATTAAGAGCAAATTTTCAAGGATCTTGGGAGATTTAATCCAAGGAATCAAGATGATTCAAGCTTCAAGTTCACCTCTAAAGATCTCGGGCTACTTTGCTTGGTTTTCTAGGTTCTCTCTAATAGCCTAGCAAGTGAGTTCATCCTAATTTTATCAAACTATATACATGTCAAACCTTAATACTATGGGTGTATTTGACCTAAACAGTAAGATGGGGATTGCTAGCTGATTTCTCTTGATCTCATCGTTGTTGTGCCATAAAACTAAAAAGAAGGTCTTTCTATAAAAAGAAAGGGGAGTACGATGCATTTTGAAGAGTTAGAGCAATTCATATATTGGGATTTGTTGGAAAATAAATGTACATATAGACAGGTTATTATGAGTGGCCACTTTATATCAACCTTGTATATTTTGGGGGTGTAGAACACTTGATAGAAGCATTGTATAATGGGTTTTACTTATTAGAACTATGTGAAATCTTTATGTTTCATGAATTTGTTGTATTGTGATGTTTATGCATGAGGGTTAGAAGCTGTGTGTTATCAAGTAGCCTATAGTTATACATATCTCAATTTCTAGTAAGTAGACACTAAAGGTCGAATGAGAGTCTTGAGGTGGCAGTTATCTAGAAAATATGTGGGCATTAATATTCATAAATCCTTGAGGTGGTACTCTTTGGGGTAGACACTAAAAATATTGGGGGACTTGAGGTGACGCCATGAATGAATGTGCACTAAAGTCAAAGAAAACTTCGACATGTGGCAATACTTTTGTATTCCCACCACTCCTTATGGAAAAAGGTCTTTTATGTCATCAAAAGATGTTACTTGTGTATATTATGTAGGTCTGAGGAACCCGTAGGAAGGGGGGATGAATCATCGAAGGGACATATTGGACAAGATGCAACTTTATGTACAACCATTACTATTATGGGTAACATCATTCATCTACATCTTTCACCGCTATCACTTTATAATTGTAAGTCTAACTGTTTGAGCTCATTAGACATAAGCCTAA